CCACTCACCTCAGCCTCCCAAAGGCGCAGGATTACAGGCTGAGCCACCGAGCCTGGCTCCGGCTAACTTTTTGATTTATTGTAGAGATGAGGTCTCACCAAGTTGCCCGGGTGGGTCACAATCATAAATTATAATAAAGGACATCTAAGAAGCATATGATAAAGACATATCTATGATTATAAATTGGAATAATAAGGTTTCATTTCCCAGTAGTGGTGGCTAGTAGGTCCAATTAATATGGAGACATGAAACAGGATCCAACAGAGGTGTAGAGTTCAAGTCACTGGTTGTACTGGACTTGGAGTGGAGCTGTCGGTGATAATTTCTTAAAGACATTTTTTTTTCTTTGACAAGTCATATCAGATCTGCAAGAGATGAAGTTGGGGCGGGGGGACTCTGATGCAAAAACATTCAATTTTGAAGCCAGGTCCTCTTGCCTATTGCCCCAACCTATTTCAGGAAGAGCAACCATACACGGTGGAAATAAGCCAAGTAAATAGCCAAAAATTCCAGGATCCAGTTCCATCTCTGCCATTGTTTCATCCTGTGACCACGAGCAAGCAGTGTCTCTTTGCCGGACCTTAGTTACCCTATCTGTAAAATTAAGGGGTTGTGTTATGACTCTTAAGGTTCCTGGGAGGTCTTCACATCTAAATTTCCAAAGGAATTAATTGGAACTAGCTTCCAGATGGTCAAGTTTTGGCCAAATCCAAAAGGTTCCAAGATGTACATGGCATCAGGATGGAGAGAGATAAGGGCCAGGAGGAGCAAGGAAGACCCTTTGGAGGTGGTAAAGCATGAGTTGAGCTTTAGAAAATAAGAGTAGAATGCTGGACAGAAGAAGAAAGTGGGTGTTCTAAGATGTTCAAACGGAAACTGACAGAAACTCAATCCCTACACCTCCCCAAACCTGCTCTTCCTCCTTAATTCCCTTCTCAGTGGATTTAACTGCATTTTCCACCAGAAACTTTGACAATGGATAGCTGAAGATGAAGGAAAACATTTGGGGCTACCCGTAATTATCTTCCCTCACCCGTTGGGGAGGGTCAGAAAGATGATTTTGAAAGCTCAAGAATGTGTTCAAAAAGGAACCGCCAGTAGGACGGTGACTACACCGTCGAAACCCTTTGTTTTGGTAAGTTACTTTTTGATTGTTTAATTCAGTGTTTGTGCCAATAATTTATAGTAGACTCCTCACTAATAAGCAAAATACAGCCACTCACTCACACTGAAGCCGTTCCCGCGCCAGCGCCCCCTCACAGGGGGCGGGGCCGCCCGTTTAACGCCTCTTCCGCTTCCGGCCGCGAGGGGCCATTTTCACTCCCCACTGTGCTCGGCTTTCCCGGGAGGAGAGTGCAGCTACTGTGACGTCGGCTGCGCTCACAGAGGAGTGGCGAGCCCGCGGAACCGCAGCCATGGTGAGTGCATGCGCCGGGCCGAGGAGCCGGGAAGCCGGAGACTTAGGGTTGCGTTCATTCGCTGGTCCGGTGGAGGCCTGAAACGTGCGTGGTCTCATCCGTCCGGGTTGGGTCTTAACCACCCGGCGCTGAGTTGGAACTCGCGGGCAGCCTCGGGGTCCCAACAGCCCGGCCCGAGGTTAGAACTCAGCGTCCTAACTGCTGTGGTTGGAGATACTTTGCAGCAAGTCTGTTCGCGTGGTCTCCTAAGGCCGCCGGTGAGCAGAGGGGACATGGGAGAAGGAGACCCACCCACGTGGGAGAGGTTAACAAGTTGACTGAAAAATATCTGACTCCATTCGTTTTATCCCTGCGATATCTAGAGGATGGCACCGAACCCTGGGACTCTCCTACTCACCCCAGCCCGCCCCCATTGCTAGAGTTCAGGAAAGGGAGATCTCCCGGAGTCTGCCTCGTGCGGACCGCGAGTTACACG